GAGGGGCCCCTCACCTATTGGAACAAGAGTGATGAGGGAATGAGTTGGATGCAGGAGAGTTTGTAGGTTTAGTGGCAAGGAGTTAGGGAGTTCCCACCTGATGCTTTCTATGTTCTCTTTGAAGGAGGAGGCATGACCTCGGGAGGCAGTAAGTGTTGGAAGAGAGACTTGAGGAGGGAGCAGAAGTTTGGGAAAGAGGGCTGTGGTGGTGTGAGCATGTCGAGGCTGGCGATGGTGAAGCATGGTGGTAGCTGTGTGTTCGCCTCAGGCATGTTCGTAGCCTGGTACAGGTATAAGAAGGGGGACATTTGATTCATGCAGGATTGAGGGGGTGCTGGGCAAATGATGAAAAGGATGGGTCCAAACTAAATAGGAAAGGAGGTAAAGAAAAGGGAGGAGGAGGTCTTCAGAAATGATGAATTCAAGGAACTAAAGGGTCAAGATGCTGAGAGGGGTGCCAAAGAGACCCAGAAGATGGCAAGATGCTCAGTGCCCGGGGCAGGTGGCATTTGGCAGGGACAGTGAGGGGGGAGGGGCCTGTGGCCAGAGGGTGTGGCTGTGGAAGCAGGGAGATCCTCATAAAGGATGAAGGAGGACTAGGATGGTATCTTCAGAGCCGAGCCAGGTTCTAAGGGCAGGAAGAGGGCGAAATGTGCTGTGACGAGGCAGGAAATATTGAAGAGTTTGTGCACCATTGAACCACCCCAGGGAGCAGTGGGAAGGTTTGGGAGGGCGGGCACGGTGTGAGGTTGGGTTGAGGGAAAGGACACATAAAGCAGCACATGGAGAAGGCGGAGCAGTGGGAGGAGTCTGGCATTTGGCGGGTGAGACTCGGTGGGCTTAGCCGATCCCAGCCTGACCGGGAGTGGTAGCCCAGCTCTCCAGCTGGTACCCAGGCGCTCCTGGAGCCAACGGTGTCCTGGATGGAGGACCGTGCAGAGCACGTGCGCCTCAGGGGATGTGGAGAGAGTGGTGGTACCGCTGACAGCCTTCTTAATCTTGCGCTCGTCTCATGGGGCATTTCTCTTCCTGCTGTCAGATTTGTTTTGAAAACAAATGTGGGCCAGTGGCCTGTCAACAGCCTCTTGCGCAGATCTTTATGCCGAGCGTGGTCCTCAGCCCTGCCTGCCGGGAGCATCGCCGGGGAGTTTCGGTCCATACGATTGCCGGGTGCCCAGACCAACGGCCTCAGAACCTGTGGAGGGGAGGCCTCTGGCGTCTGTGCAGTTAACTTTCTTAAAGGCTCCACTGGCCACTCTAATGGGTGCAGAACCTCAGCGTGGGCCTCTGCCTCCCAGTCATGTGGTCCGTCCATCAGCAGCGCATGGGCATCCCCTGGGAGCGGGATAGAAAGGCGGAACCTCAGGCCTCACCCCTGACCAGCTCCTGAGTCAGAGCCTGCACTGTAATGAGCGCTCCTTCCCCGGGTGGGACCTGCGCCTGTAAACAGGGCTGACGCCGGAGGCCCACCTCTGAAGATCCTGGCTTTACTGGTCTGAGCCTGGGAGTCGGGATTTTTAAAGGCTGCCCAAGTATTTCTCATGTTTAGCCAAGTTCAAGATCCCTGCCTTAGAGCATCCAGCAAAGTCAGGAAAGGTGCCCGGGGTGCTTTTATTCACCTGGTGGATCAACCCCGTCTGCGTTTAATGGTTTCTGACCTTTTCTTTAACTTACCAACGAACTCCATGTGCTTCTCATTGGGGGCAACACTGCCCGTCTTAAACTTGTGGCCAGAACATCATTTCTCCTCATTTTCAAAGACGCTACTGGGAGGCATGGTAACTGATAAGACAGGAAATACCGCACAACCCATAAGGCCTGTTACATAAGGACTGGTTCATTTATTAAAGGAAAAAAGGTGTTGGCCATAGAACCATCATTACTGAGTGCCGATCAACTCCTTATAAAATTGAGAAGCACAATATTCCTGATTAGTTATTTCTGTCGTCTTTTCTAAGACCCTGTGTGAAAATGATCCTTAAAGCACTCTACAGCGTTCTTTAAGCCAACTGATTGCACCGTCAAATGGCGGTAATTGGTTTGCTGAAATGTTAGGTTACTGCTATTGTGTGGATTAAGATATGGCAAGTGTTACTTTAGGCCTGTCTCCAAAATGTAATTCCTGCTTAAAAGTGAGTTTTTCAAAGAACAAGCTTTGACACAGGTCTTAGGAAACCATTGTGCTGTGTAAGTCTTGAAGGGAAACATTTATGTAAAGCACCTCGCTCAGACCACACGTGACTCCCACATTTGAATATCAAATCGCCCCTTTTCACGTAGGTGGCTACCTCTCGGGGAGAATAGAATGTTATTATAATTGAAGACTTTCCGCAACTTTTTCTTTCTCACTTCAGAGTCAGACATATGAATGTATGAATCACTCTCCACCACTGGTGACTGAAATTTGGTTTAGGAATTATTAAAACTGCATTGGTGCCAAGATAAAAAGTACTGCTTTTCAAGCTTTTATTTAAAAAAAAATATATCAATGGTCTTTTCAGGTTTCAGACAACATCGATTTCGCCTCCATTAGACTTGACAAAAGTCTACAAGAAAGTCATTTTTTAAATTCAATAATGAACTATTCAGTGGATTCATTATGGTTTGAGTTCCACAAGATCATTTCAAGATCATTTTTTTTAAAGAAGCCAAATGAAAACTATCAAGAATTGAAAAAAAAATTTTTTTTCTCCATGTTCTCTGAGTGGGCCCAGTCCTGGAACAGCCCCTTCTCCCCCGCCCTGGGGCCTCAGACACATGTCTTTAACACTTCCCTTTCTAGTAGCTCCAGGTAACGTGTATTCTAGATTCCACTCAAGGGCAGATGAAAGGGCTTCCTAAGCATCAGGAGGCCCTTCGCTGAAGTCAGCAGGAGGGAGGAGGGGCAGGGGGAAGGGGCCTCTCCTAACTGTGCTGGAGTTGGTCTGTGACAGCGAAGGGAGGAAGTCTTGTCACAGAAGAGAGAATCCTGCTCCTCCCTCACCTGGCACTTGTCACTGTGGCATTGTCCTGAGGGCCATACGGAGGGAGGCTGAATTCGCAATTTAGTTGGAACTTAAAATGTCACAGAAAAATTCAATTATTACATTTGCGCAGACGGATGGTTGAGACCGGGATTCACGTCTTGTGCGTTATGACCTGTACACTCATAGGTCAGTGATGAATTGTAAAATGTCACGAAATCGGGTCAATTGAATTCCCAGGACTCTGCTTGGACACACCGTGTCCACTACAGCACATGAATGATGAAAATGGCAAGAAGGGAGAATTGGACTTTATTATTGTGGTCATATGTACACTGACTGGCAAGCATGCGAATGTTTGTTTCACTACTGAAGCATGGCATCTCCGGTATTTAAAATGGAAATCCACATAATCGCGTGCTGATGAAATCACCTCAAATGACCCCACACAGAGAGTAAGAAGTTGCTGCCAGGCAAACTTCGCCATGTTTCCCGCCCTTGGAGTTAACTTCTCGTGTCTTAAAATCATCCTTTCTACCAGGCACTCGTGGTTTCCTGAAACTATAGCTTTAGAAGGATCAGTCACTCATTGATTGACCAACTAACTTTTTGGGGGGATTTACACAAGGCCTCTCCTGAAGCCCCAAATCCTGTGTTAGTGAGCACTGACCAACCTTATCCGATGCAAATACAACCAAATCGTTTGCCTGCTTGAAATACTGAGTGGCTTCCCACCATCCACAAAACCAAGTCCAAACTCTGACCCTGAAAAATCCCTTCTCTGCCTTTGTTCTGACCTTACCTGCCATTACTGCTTCACCTTTAGCCTAGACCTCCACGCCTTCGCACATACTGTTCCTCCAGCGGGAACTGTTCCGTCTGGAAACGGCTGTGTATCTTTCCAGCGTCACCTTCAGTTTCATCTTCTCAGTTCTCGTGTGGTTCACTCTGTTCGCCTCTTTGCTCACAGCGACATTGGGTGATAACTCCTGCCTCCTTCCGGACGGAGCTCCTGGAATGCTGGGCCCGTGGGTGGCTCTTCCTCTTTGTCGTCATCCCACTCGGAGCAGTGCCTGGTACACCTGGTGGCCACTCCCCGGAGAGTTAACAAGTGAATGGGTGTCCCCACCCCCCAAGTGTCTAAGTTAGTAACCAGGGAAGAGCTTGGCAATGGGAAAGCCTGACCTCTCTCTGAGCCAGGCTAGGGGCCTGTGCTTTCTTTCCAACTCCAAGGGATGTTAGCTCTGTGCCTGTAAGTATGTCTGCAGCGTGGCCTGGCATGATGGTCAGTATTAACCTGGAGGCCTAAGTGTGATATGTAAGTCACCGGTAAATTCTCCTAAAATCCTGAAGTCCATTTTGCAGTTTAGGGTATAGTTTCTAACACCAAATGCTACTCTCCAAGAAAACCTTCTCTTACGGATGTGAATGCATCGTTTGCAAATATTAAGTTTAAAGAAAGGCCACAAAATGCAGAGCCATGTATTGTCTTAAAATAACTGTATTATGCATATTAAAGCATGCAGCTTTCCTCTCCAGCGTGATTGCTTTGTTTGATCAAATTGAAAGTTGGGTTTTCTATTTTGGCATTATGAAGAAATGAAATGGTTCCATTATAGCAAATAGAAGCTCGATAATGGCTTGATTCAAGTTTTAATTGGAATGCCGGTCTCAGAATATTTTAGCATTCCAGTCTTATTCCTAGATATTGCGTCTTCAAATAGAGGCTATGAGCTGGGACCGGGTTACCATCCTCATAGGACTTGAGTTGCTGGAATCTCAGGAGAATGTCAAACCAAGACTCTTGTCTGAGGCAGAGAGGAAGCTGTTCTGCTGTGAGCTGACGGGAAACATTGAGCTCACAGCAGGTCCCCATAGAAACAAAACACTAAGAAAAATATCCCCGGAGGTTTGATCTCAACTCCTCTTGGACAGGCAGCCTTTGGAGACTGATAAGCAAATAGCAATTAGCTCTGCTCCCTTTGTTCCTGAAGTGGGCTGCGTGCGCCCGTCAAAATCCTTTTTCTTTTTCTTCAGGCTTCCTGACAGCCATGCGGCAAGAAGTGACCCGCGCCCACAAAGGCTGGGCCCTGGACTCGGTGACCATCCACAATGAAGTTCTTCGGCAGACCAAGGAGGAGATCGTGGCACCCCCTGCGGTAGGCGCCCCGGGCAACGACAGCTGGAGCTGGGGCACAAGTTCAAGTTCTGCCTAAAGCTGACCTGTGTGCACCTCAGTCCAGCCTGCTGGCTTTGCAGCCCGGGTTCCCTCGTTTGCAACCAGAACAAGCCCTGGGAACTCGTTTCTTTATAATTACAGGTCACACGGTGTTTGCGAGGAAGGGGTGTCCAGCTACTGCTGTGGCTGCTTGGGGAATGGGCGAGTGTCAGGGCCCTGGTAGAGACTAACAGGACCGGCAGGCCTGGGTGCTGGGCCAGTTCCACCTGCAGGACCCCGGGTGGGGCACAGGGAGGGGCTCAGGGTGAGCAGACTCCCTTGGGAGCCACTGTTTGTGTTATTGGAGAAATGCATGATGGTCTTTCTCTGTTGCTGGTGGGAGTGGGGATCTTGGGGTGCCACTGGAATAAGCATTTCTGGAGGCCCCCACGGGAGGATGGGATGTGGTAGAAAGCTGTATTTGCATGGAATTACATCCTTGGGTTTCCAAAGTCCCATTTCCCTGAATCTGGTCCTGGAACATGTGCAATTGAGGATTCAGCAGAACTAGAAGCCAGCATCCAAAGTTTCCTTTCCATGGTGGAATCGGGTCTGGTTTAGGCTGGTTGTAGCCCATTAGTCCACTGTGTGTGTGGTCCACATGGCCACGTGGGTGAATGCAGGAGCACGAGCGTCCCACAGGCCAGCATCTCGAACCAAGAGGCAAGAGCCGAACTCCTCTGTTTAGGACCTTAAGTATCTCAAATATTCCCACGCTTGCAGTGGCCACACCTATTCTGGCCAATGAACTGTTCCCAGGTGTGATTGACAGGCTAGTACCTTCCCTGTGCCACCCAGACTTTACTGGGCACGTGTCTCTTCCTCCTCTGTCCAGGCTGGTGGCTCCCTGGGGAGTGTTAAACCGCAGCTTCCCGGCAAAGCTGCACAGATAACTCTGATATCTGGCCTGCCCTCTGCTTCTTTCCTGTTCATCAATGACTGGGTTCATTTCCAAAGGCATCTTACCTGGACACTTAGCTGCTTTCTGAACTCGGACACGTTCTTTACCTTTGTGAGCCTCAACTTCTCCAACTGTAAAATGAGGAGGCTACCCCAACCTCAGGAAGGTGGTTGTGAGAGTTTAGTGGGATCATTTAGGCGTGGTGCCCGACCCCACGTAGACACTCAGTACATCTTCGTCCCCTTTTCTCTCTCCCCGACTTTCACTCCCTCAGCTGTCGGGTGAGGGCATGGACCGTGAGACTCCCCAGGCCTGGCCCCTCTGCCCCTCTGTAACAAGGACCTCCTTCCCTCTGGCTTCCAGGAGTGTGGTCTTTCCTCCTGCCTGAGGTCTCACCAGAGCACCTTTAGTCTCTGTATGTCCAGCAGCAACAGGCTTGTCCTGTCACGGGCCTCAGAGCTCTCCCAGCTTCTTCCCATTATGCGATGCAAAGTCAGGTCCACGTTGTTAGGTGTCTGGTCAGCAGCACCCCGTTTCCGGGTACCCAGATCTGCATGAGTTTCCTAGGGCTGTGGTCATGAAGTACCACAAACGGGGAGTGAGGGGACTTAAAACAATAGAAATTTATTCTCTCTCAGCCCAGGGGGCCAGGAGCCTGAAGCCAAGGGGCTGGCAGGCTGCTTTCCTGTGAAGGCTGTGAATAATCCGCACCTCCTCCCCCCGCCTCTCCTACTAGCTTCGGGGGGTTCCACCATCCTTGGCTTCCTTGACCTGTGGCTGCATCACTCGACGCCCCGCCTCCACTGTCAGTGGCCTTCTCCCTGTGTGCACCTCCGTGTTCCTCTCCTCTTCTTGGGAGAACACCAGCCAGAAGGAACTTGCCTCTTCCAATCCGTACGACCTTAACTAGTTACATCTGCAAAGAACCTATTTCCGAATAGTCACATTCTAAGGGTCTGGGTGGACATGGATTTTGGGGTGACACTATTCAACCCACTGCACCTTCTAACTACAGCTTTGTAAGGTTCTGAGATGGACAGCAGCCTTGAAGGGTGCAGTTTCCTGTCGGATGGTACCTAAGTGGCTGTTGTTCACGCAGCAACCATCATCCAGCAGCTAATGATGTTCTGATCCCATGGGCTTGCCCCTGGGTTTACTGTCAAACCAAGTACCTCAGTTTTAGATTCAATAAAGGCAGCCCTCGTCCTGTTAGAAAACACTCTGCAATAATCTTGCTGGCTTTTATTATCATTACTAGAGGCCCAGTGCACAAAATTCATGCATGGGGGGGGTCCCCTCAGCCCAGCCTGCACCCTCTCAAATCCGGGACCCCTCAGGGGATGTCTGACTGCCACTTAGGCCTGATCCCCGCAGTCAGACATCCCTCTCACAATCCTGGACCTCTGGCTCCTAATCGCTCACCTGCCTGCCTGCCTGGTCGCCCCTAACTGCCCTCTCCACAGCCTAATCACCCCTAACTGCCCCCCCTGCTGGCCTGGTCACTCCCAACTGCCCCCCCCGCTGGCCTGGTCACCTCTAACTGCCCCCCCCGCTGGCCTGGTCACCTCTAACTGCCCCCCCCGCTGGCCTGGTCACCTCTAACTGCCCCCCCCGCTGGCCTGGTCACCTCTAACTGCCCCCCCCGCTGGCCTGGTCACCTCTAACTGCCCCCCCCGCTGGCCTGGTCACCTCTAACTGCCCCCCCCGCTGGCCTGGTCACCTCTAACTGCCCCCCCCGCTGGCCTGGTCACCTCTAACTGCCCCCCCCGCTGGCCTGGTCACCTCTAACTGCCCCCCCCGCCAACCTGGTCACCTCTTACTGCCCCCCCTGCTGGCCTGGTCATAGGCAGCCATCTTGTGAGGGCGTGAGGGTTAATTTGCATATTACATCTTTATTATATAGGATACTTACTCCCCCTACCTGGTCCTCGCTGGAAATGGAAAAAGGGTCACCATCTTCCACATATTAGTATATACACTTTATAAGCTGACGTGATCATTGGAGTCTCCTGTGATTCCCTTTAGCCTCTCTTGGCTTATCTTGCTGGATATGTGTTCTGTGGCTCCCTTGGCTACAAGGTCAAGTTCAAACCCTTCAGCTTAATGTCCAGACTCTCCTCGCTCGGGTGCTGACTTATTGTACCACCCCTGGACCCGCTGCTGAATCAAATGCGGCAGCTGCCCACCTACCCAGCCTCCCTGCAGCATTGCTCCTGCCCGGGGCGCCCAGCCTCTCTCCTCCATCTTCCCATGTGCAGCCCCCCTTCAAGGAAACATTCCCCACAAAGACCCTGAGCACTCGGCCCACAGTGCCTTTCCCTGCACTGGGCCTCCCATGTGCACTAGGCAGCCCTCTCACACGTGTGCCGGTGTTGGTGTTAAACTCTGTGTGTGTCTTGTCTCCCTATTCAATGGTGGAACCTCAAGGGCAGGTCCTACTGTGTGAAAGAGAGACTCGAGGTGATGGACAGCCAGTGCTGAACCAATCGTGCCCACCCTTCCCCTCACACCCAGTCTCATCCACCTCCCAGCCTGGGCAGAGAGGGAGGTCTGACCCTTCCGCTGCAGGGCCTGGTGGCACAGACCTCACTTCCTCCTGGGCCTGAGATGATGGTGGAGCCATCGGTTGGCGTGGCTGATGCAGGTGGAGGTCCCACATGGTGCCTGGCTCCAAGTCCTGTTCCCTGCTCCCACCCTACCCTATACCAGTTCAGACCCAGCCTCTGGGACACTTGGATGGGCCTCTGGTTCACTCAGACCCAGTCTCTGGGACACTTAGACCCGGTCTCTGGGGGACTCAAATGGGGCCCGGATGGGGCCTCTGGGAGACTGTTAGGCCCCTGCAGAGCCGGTTCAGTGCTGGCTAAGTTTGTTGTCGCCGGCAGGCCATCTGACGCCCAACCCACGCCTAACCCACCGAGAGCAGGAACATTCCTGCAGGGCTCGTGGCCTCGAGGTTGGCTGCAGGGAAATGGGCTCCTACCTCACTATGCGGTGTGCCCAGCGGGCTCTCTTCTTTGGGGAGCTCCTGAAGATTGGGGTGTGTCCTCTTTCCAAACGGACAGCCTTCGCTACAGTAACGGGTGCCCACTCACAGCACCTGATTTTTATACTCCCCATTGCCCTCTGCTTGGCTCCTCCAGGAAGGAGTGTATATCTATGGGCTGTACATGGACGGCGCGGCCTGGGACAGACGCAACGGGAAGCTCACGGAGTCCACGCCCAAGGTGCTCTTCATGCAGCTGCCCGTGCTGCACATCTTCGCCATCAACTCCACGGCGCCCAAGGACCCCAAGCTGTACGTGTGCCCCATCTACAAGAAGCCCCAGCGCACCGACCTCACCTTCATCACCGTGGTGTACTTGCGGACCGTGCTGTCCCCAGATCACTGGATCCTCAGGGGAGTGGCCCTCTTGTGTGACGTCAAGTAAGGTCATTCCCACTCGCTGAGAGCACAGGAGCCTCGTCGACGGCCGCTGCCACCGGGAGTCAGAACCGTGTCTTCCCCTGGTCACTGATTTGTTATCTTTCTAAATTAAAAAGTCGATATTCTCTAACCGCTTATGTGTGTGTGTGTTTTTTCCCCATATCCATATTCCAAAGGATAATTCTAAAGTAATGCTTTTCATTTCAGGCAACCATATTCCATCATCATTACTTGTTAGAACACTCTGGAAGGTTTGGATTTTAAAAATCTAAAAGTATTCATTTGTTGCATCCTAAAAGGAGTCTAGTAAATGCAAACTTTTCATTCTAATGAATTCCACTTTCCCTTCAATAAAATCTACCCATGTCCATGATTTTCGTTGGAGCTTGGCCTTCTGTCGGTGTCTGTGAAATGGGAACGGGGTGGGGGTCCCGGTTCGGTCAGCACCCCTAGGGTCCCAGCTGGGTGCTGTCTGTAAGCGCTTTGGAGCCCAGAGAACTCTGTCCTTCGCTCGCCCCTCCTGCCCAGTTCTACAGAGATAACGCAGCGCACATTTCTAGGCAGCAAACAGAGAAGGGAAAACAAACTCCATCAAGTGAAATTACGTTACATGCTTAATGCCTTGAAGACCAAAGTCTTTACAAAGAGAAGCTATTTCTTACTCTGTAGCTAGTCTGAAACTCGGTTTGAACCTTTATTTCCTGCTAAAGGAAGTTGTCAATTTAACAAAACAAATGGGGCCCTATATTGAATTCTCAGGCAGCCTCAGGAAAGTGAAGTGTCTCTCCTGGTCCTCCCCACAGAACCCTCTCTCCTGGTCCTCTCCCACCAGAACCCTCTCTCCTGGTCCTCCCCCCAGAACCCTCTCTCCTGGTCCTCTCCCCCCAGAACCCTCTCCCTGGTCCTCCCCCCAGAACCCTCTCTCCTGGTCCTCTCCCCCCAGAACCCTCTCCCTGGTCCTCCCCCCAGAACCCTCTCTCCTGGTCCTCTCCCCCCAGAACCCTCTCCCTGGTCCTCCCCCCAGAACCCTCTCTCCTGGTCCTCTCCCCCCAGAACCCTCTCCCTGGTCCTCCCCCCAGAACCCTCTCTCCTGGTCCTCTCCCCCCAGAACCCTCTCCCTGGTCCTCCCCCCAGAACCCTCTCTCCTGGTCCTCTCCCCCCAGAACCCTCTCCCTGGTCCTCCCCCCAGAACCCTCTCTCCTGGTCCTCTCCCCCCAGAACCCTCTCCCTGGTCCTCCCCCCAGAACCCTCTCTCCTGGTCCTCTCCCCCCAGAACCCTCTCCCTGGTCCTCCCCCCAGAACCCTCTCTCCTGGTCCTCTCCCCCCAGAACCCTCTCCCTGGTCCTCCCCCCAGAACCCTCTCTCCTGGTCCTCTCCCCCCAGAACCCTCTCCCTGGTCCTCCCCCCAGAACCCTCTCTCCTGGTCCTCTCCCCCCAGAACCCTCTCCCTGGTCCTCCCCCCAGAACCCTCTCTCCTGGTCCTCTCCCCCCAGAACCCTCTCCCTGGTCCTCCCCCCAGAACCCTCTCTCCTGGTCCTCTCCCCCCAGAACCCTCTCCCTGGTCCTCCCCCCAGAACCCTCTCTCCTGGTCCTCTCCCCCCAGAACCCTCTCCCTGGTCCTCCCCCCAGAACCCTCTCTCCTGGTCCTCTCCCCCCAGAACCCTCTCCCTGGTCCTCCCCCCAGAACCCTCTCTCCTGGTCCTCTCCCCCCAGAACCCTCTCCCTGGTCCTCCCCCCAGAACCCTCTCTCCTGGTCCTCTCCCACCAGAACCCTCTCCCTGGTCCTCCCACCAGAACCCTCTTGCCTGCCCGCAGCCAAGTTCACAAACCTCATTCCCTCATCTGTTCTGAAGGCGGGAAGTGTTGCCCTGATCAGAGATGCAATGACGAACAAAACAAGACGGCAGCACAGCAGCCCAGGTGAGGTGTCCAGGGAAGCCCCAACGAGAATTCCACCATCGTCTAGGCCCAGGGTACTTTCAAGCAGTAGGAAATACAGTATGAAATGCACACCATAGGGATGGCTCTGGTGCACTTTTGATGTTGATTCAACGTCAGAGCCATAGAACTTTCTAGGGCTGTGAGGAGCCCCCTGGCCAAGGTGTTGGGCGTTTCTGTGGCCAGCAGGCACACTGAGGGAGATGGGCCTCTCTGGAAAGATTGTCCTCCTGAACAGAGGCTGGAATTTGGCTAACATGATTGGAGGCAAACTACATGACCTAACCCCCCACCCCCACCCCCGCAGATGTCACGGTAAGTTTTCAGGGAATAACATTTAGGGTCAATGTTCTCTAGTAACTTGAATATCTTATGGAAAATTGGGAAAGAGATGGAAAATGTGTGAGTCTATATCAGGCTGTTTAGAGCCACGGGCCATTTCCTGGGAACTTTTTCACTGTTGCTGATTATTTTGCTCTGTGTCAACACCGAGGAGAGAGATGGGTGCAAAGGCCACCTGGGGGTGAGTACCTGGCGCCCAAGATGGGCCTCAAAATGGTCTTCTTTATGGCGGGTACTTCTCAGCCATCCCTAGTTTTGCAGAAATGGGCTGGGGTCCATTCCACTTTCTTTTGCTAGCCCATTGAATGATTTTCTTAGACATTTTGAGCCATTGAACTTCCATAAACCCATAACCATTTTCTCAGCAAAAATTGTTGCTTTTCACTAATTACATAATTTGCCACACTTGGGAGGGAGACCTGGTGAGCATAACAGAGCAAAGAATTGGGACAAGGTGGTTAAGCCAATGAAGCGGGGAGAGACAGTCATATTTTTCCTCCTTGGAATCAATCCACATATTCTCATTTTGGTCTCTGCAAAATGAACAATGAGACTTAAGATGTTATTTTCGTCTGAACTCTGCATAAAAATAAGACCAGCAGAGAAGTGTCTAAGGATACATCTTCCAAAAGGGATTGGTCTTGTGATGTGTCATGAGCGAGCCCCACTCTGCTGTCAAGACCTGTGTTGTGGGTGGGACTGGGGGCCATGGGTGGACAAGAGTGGTTAAAGAAAGTCAGGGACGAGGGGTGAACTTGAAGAATGGTAACATTTCACTCAGCTGGCATGGCTCGATTGAGCGTCGACTTATGAAGCAGAAGGTCACGGTTCGATTCCTGGTCAGGGCACATGCCTGGGTTGCAGGCTCAATCCCCAGTAGGGGGCGTGCGGGAGGCAGCCGATCAATGATTCTCTCTCATCACTGATGTTTCTATCTCCCTGTCCCTCTCCCTTCTTCTCTGAAATCAACAAAAATATATTTTTTAAAAAAGAAGAATGGTAACATTTCAGTAGATGGCATCAAGCGGGTACCGAGACAGCAGATGGATACGTTGTAAGAAGAGAACAGCATGAGGCAGAGAATGGCATAATGATGGGAAACTGCATGGAACACGCAGAGGAGGCCGGGCCGGGTGGCCCCTTCTTAAGAGTCTTCAGTGAGCTTCCATCCGAAGCCTCTTGTGAGTAGCCGAAGTCAAAGTTCCTCCCGTGGCCTCCGGCAGGCACCCTGCATGGCTTCTGCTGTAGGACTATTTGGTGTTCCGTGAACATCTCACGTTGCTCCCTTATCAAGGGAGACTTTCCCATATAGAACAACTGACCTCTCACACACGGCTGGAGGCAATGTAAGACGTCACAGCTGTTTTGGAAAGCAGGTGGGCAGTTTTTTCAAGTGAAATATCCAGGTAGCATATGACCCAGGCATTTCACTCCTAGACTTTTACCCAAGGGAAATAAAGGCAGATGTCCATACAAAGACTTACATATGAATGTTCATAGAAACTTTATTTGTAACAGCCAGCAATTGGAAGCAACCCAAATGCCCACCGTGAATGGATAAACAAACTATGGCGCAGCCATTCTGTAGACTCAGCAACAAAAGCAAAGTACCGATACACACTGTAACACGTTCATCTCAAAATAACTATGCTGAGGAAAGAAGATAAGAAGAAAGGGCATGTGTACGGTTCCATCTATATATAGAAAAGCCTAAGCAACCATTACGACGGGTCCACCAAACGACCAGTCGACCAATCGCTTTGATGACGCACTGACCACCAGGGGACCATTACGACGGGTCGACCAATCGCTTTGATGACGCACTGACCACCAGGGTGTAGACGCTCAATGCAGGAGCTGCCCCCTGGTGGTCAGTGTGCTCCCACAGCCAACCTCCTGTGGTCCCTTCCCCCTGCCAGCTGGTCCCAATCGGCCCTGATCACCGGCCAGGCCGAGGGACCCTGGTCCCTTCCCCCTGCCGGCTGGTCCCAATCGGCCCTGATCGCTGGCCAGGCCGAGGGACCCCACCCATGCACGAATTTGTGCACCAGGCCTCTAGTTTATACATAACATTCCATTAAATGCAAGCTAACCTACAGTGGCAGAGCAGACCAGCAGTTGTCTGGGCTGGGAGGGGCCGGGGGTGGCATGGGAAAAGAATTGCAAAAGGGCAGGAGGACACTGGAGGTGATAGACGTGTTCATTCTCTTGGTTGTGGTGAAGGTTTCACAAGTGTCAAAATGTGCCGTTTACTGTACTTCAATTATACCTCAATAAGGCTGTCAAGAAAGTCCTCTCTGTGCCACCCAATTCTTTCTCCGCCCTCTGTGAGGACTCCCCCAGGTAGGGTTTATTGCTCCTGCTGCATTTTGGTTGCAACCGAATTTAACCATTTCAATCCTAGGAATCAATAACATATATCTGTCTCCTCACTCGATACCAAGCTTCTTGAAAGCCGAGTCTGGCCTTTGGCACCCCAGTAAGTGGTGATTGAATGGAACAGTGAACGTACCCCGATTTGAGTGGTAAATGTAAGCCAGTTATGGGGGGAAGGGCTGTCAGGTAGGCCATGTTGGGAGGGTCCAGAACACGGGGGTGGGGGGATGGGTGGGGGAGGAGCAGGGATCGTGGATGGCTCAGGGCAGCTGCAGGAGTGGGAGTGAGAGGCCAGTTAGGAGGTTGTTGCTCTGGACCAAACAAGAGGAAAAGAGGCTGGAACTAGAGAGAAGACAATTCGCTTGGAAGTAAAGCAAGTCATTTGAAAGACTTCATGGAGGTAAAATTTGGGAATTCAG